TTTTTTTTTTTTTTTTTTTTTTTGTACCAGGGATTGAACTTGGGACCTGGCATTTATGAGTCGGGCAGCAGAACTCCTGAGCCAAATCCCTGGCTCCAGGTGTAGTTTTAGATGTAGATCTTTTATAAACCTGTAGATACATATCTGGTACATACTAATCATGTGCTTTCAGGCATAGTCATGACTGCCCGTGGTGTCAGTGGAGAGTTGCTGTGTGTGTATGTCTTGAGTACTTTATGCATGCCTGGTGTGTGTATGTTTTAATCAAAAGCTGAAACTAAACAAGCCTGTTGGATCCCTGGAAAAATTTTTCTTTTTTAAAATGTGCTTGTTAGGCCAGGCGTGGTGGCGCATGCCTATAATCCCAGCACTCCCGGAGGCTGAGGCAAGAGGATCGCTGTGAGTTCGCAACTAGCCTGGACTACATAGTGAGTTCCAGGTCAGTCTCAACTACATAGTGAGACCCTGTATCAAAAAATTAAAAAAAAAAAAAAAAAAAAAACAAATAAAATGCTTGTTTTTTGTTTTCTTGGTGGGGAATGGCTAGCTAAATGTTTATCAGAATAAGAGGAAAAGTTCCCTGCCAGTCCTGGAGCGTCTGTAAGGCAGATCCTGTGGGTGGGTGTGTCCAGAGGCCTTTCACACCCTTTGTGGGGGAGTGGCTGTGCGGGAACACAGGAATGCTCCTCCTCACAGGCAGCCTCTGACAGCACTTAATAAGTCTTTCTACTTGCCTTGGTGCACATATGTCCTAATTTGAAGAGATTCAGACTGAATCAGATTCCCTGTCACCAAATCCTCTAAGAGTATAAATAACCAGATCCTCTTTTTCATATTTATCTTGGCAAGTGCTGTGCCTTGCCAGCGGGCAGTGACATGTACTCTGGAGCCACTCTGAGCTCCTGCCGACCTGCACCGCCCCTCTGCACCACCCCCGCGCAGTCTTCAGCTCCGTTTAAGTCCTTTGACATCTATTCTTTACCCTCCACTTTTCTTTTGTCATCCTGCTCTTTTCCCCAGGACACCTCCAGTGTCGTTTTACTGGACTTGGCCTACACAGAATACTGTTGGGCCCTCATTTTTTCATCTATAAAATGATGGTGATTTAACCCTTAGTGGGTTAAAGTGAAATTTCACTGAATTAGTATATATCACAGGCTTAAAAGAGGTCTTAGTATTAAGCACTGAGTGAATTTAGGCTCTTTGTGGCTTGTCTTTATTCTAGTCTCTCACACTGTTGCCAAAATGACCTTTCAGAAATATGTGTCAGATCATGTAACTTCTCTTAAAAAAAATTCAAAATAAAAATCTAAACTCCAAACTCCTAGCTGGGTATGGAGGTGCACACCTGTAATCCAAGCACTCTGAAAGACTGAGACAGGAGGATTGCAAGTTCAAGGCCATCTTGGGCAACTTAGTAACTTAGTGAGAACCTATCTCAAAATAAAAAATAGAAAAGAATATCAGGTGTGATTGAAAAATATGGTATTTTTGTTTTGTTTTGTTTTGTTTTGTTTTTGGAGACAGGGCCTCAGGCTGGGCTCAAACTTACAGCACCCCTCCTGCCTCAGCCTCCCAAGTGCTGAGATTTGAGTTTAAAGGTTGTGTCAATAGATAGGGTTTGAATAGTGATTCCGTCCCAAATGGTGATGATGCTTACAAGAGCGTGCCACCACACCCAGTTAAAAAGTTTATGACAGCAAGAGATACATTGCCATTAATCCTCACAGTGCCCCATTTCTCCCTCTCTCTCTTTCTCTCCCTCTTTCTCTCTCTCTCTCTCTCTCTCTCTCTCTTTTTGGTACTGGGGATCGAACTCAGGCCCTTTTGCTTACAAGGCAAGCAGCGAAACCATTGAGCTAAATCCCCGGTCCCATCCCCCGCTTTCTCTTTAAACACACATATCCATCATTCTTGCTTCCTCTGAAGCAGTTCTGGAGCCCTGTTTTGTGAAGTTCAATACAATGGCTGCCTTGATGTCTTGAATTCAAACTGTTTGCCCTTTCTGGTCATCTTACTCAAGAGGAAGGACCAAAGTCAACACAGTGCCAGCAGTGGTGGGAGAGTGGGTCCTGTTCTCACAAGCCACCATCCTATATGATGGCACCGAACAGCAGCGCTCACTGTGTTCTAACAGCACCTTGTCAATACAGTCAGGAAACAGGACTCAGAGAGCTGCTTCAGAAAGTGGCGGGAATAATAGGGTTAGGGTGTTCAATGCAAGGAAAAGCTTTGGAGGGGTTCGTGGCAGTGTCTTTTAAGGTAAAATTTTGTTTTAAATCTTAACCATGTTTTTCAGTCAGATTACATAGCTCAGTATAAAGACCTTGGATTCAGTCCTTGGTACAACCAAAAGAATCTGAATTCCTGGGATGGTAGGCCATTTCATGATCTTGGCCTTGTCACCTTCTCCAGTTTCTCACAGAACTCTGCTTGTTTTGGTATTGCAGACATACAGAAGTACTATAATTCCTCAAAGTGTCATCTCAGATCTCCAGTATCTATTTACTCTTCTTAGAATTCAGAAAGTCCTGAGATGATTTTTTTTTTTTTTTTAAGCTCAGTTGAAAAGAAAAAACCGCAAAAAGTCCAAGTGGTACTTAGGCACCATAACAAAGCGAAGGAAGATTTCACAGGCGAGAGATGGTAGCCAGAGCACTGTGCATGACAAAGCTGACAGTGACACAGAGGAGACTCAGGACACAAGTGCAGACCACAACGAGACTGGAAACACGGGGGAGTCCTCAGTAGAAGAAAATGAGAAGGAGCAAAACCCCTCTGGGAACAAAATGGAATTGGGAAGCCATAACTCTAGCACTTGTACCACTGAGAATGAGCTCGAATCCAGGAAGGCTGCAGCATGTGCAGAATTGAGAAAAGATAAGATTGTTTGCAACGGAGATATTTCTGGCTCTCAAATAATGGGCATTTCCGATGAAAATGAAGCAAAAGGTAAGTCTCAGTTACAAGACATTTCAGCTAGAGTTCTTAAGCAGCTAGTTACATAGTGGTTCATTGCTTTTTTTCTTGGCCTTCAGAGACAGATGTTAGCAAATTTTAAAAAATAATACTAACTTTAGTTCTGTTTGAACTAGTAAGTTGCTATTGTCATGGTGACACTTGCCATGGGACAGACCTGGATTTGAGTCTCCAGATCACTTAGGCAAGACACAGCCTGACAGCCTGTTTGCTCATCTGTAAATCTACAGTTGGTAGATGCTGGGTAGTGAGATGTTTTAACAATTGAATTGAAAGAATCCATCTAAAGCATGGAGCCCAGGGCCTCGGTATGCAGCTTTAAAAGCCTGGCAGGATGCTCTCATTTTTAAGATGAGCAGTTTGCTGCAATTGTTGCTGAGCAAGGCAGAACAACTCCTACTCATCACCATCATTCTATCTCACTTTAGTCAGTCCAGGTTTGTTTGTATTTACCCTGTGGTCCTCCCCAAGTTTTCCCTTTAGAGGTGTCTTCCTTTGGCTGTAGATTTGTTTGGATTTTGGATGGGCTGGGGATTCAGCTCAGTGGTGCAGCACTTGTCTAGCATGTCAAGGGTATGTTCATTCCCAGTACTGCCCTCCCAAAAGAAGATTGGATTGGTTTGTTTGTTTATTTGTTTGTACCGGATCAAACATGGGATCTTGCACTTGTGAGGCAGACAGCGGCATCAATGAGCTAAATCCCCAGCCCAATTTTTTTTGGATTTTGAGAGAGCTTGGCATTATTTAGTCATACAGTAGATTGGTAGCAGGGTCAAAACTTTATTGTAAAAAAAAGATATTGAAGTCTGAGTTCAATCCCTGGTACCAAAAAACAAAAAATGATTTTGACTAAGTGAGTTCCATCTGAATAATCATGGAAACAACTGACTAGAATGTACCCGTCTAATGTGGGTGCTTGGTTGGGCATACCAGTAATCCCAGCACTTGGAGGTGGAGGTGGGTGAACCACTGCAAGTTCGAGGCCCACTTGGGCTGCATGGTAAGTTCAAGACCAGCTGAATTACATAGCAAGACCTTGTCTCAAAACAACAAACAAAAACTGTATTTTGTGGTTTTAGAGATCAAACACAGGCTCCATAATTGCAGGAAGGTGCTCCTCTGAGCTACTTTCCCAGCCCTAATATGGCTAGTTTAAAAATTAATTTTCTGGTAGTTTAATGTATTTTATTTAGAATCATAATTGTTTGATTTTTCTTAAGGCATCTCTTATCATTAGGCCACCATTAAGAGGGATAGGTTATTGCTGCTTAGATATTAGGAGATCATGTCCCGGCTCTTAGGATAATTGGTAGGGATCTTAGAAAGGCCTCTGTTTCTTCACCTCATCTTTCTGGTTTATGGCTGAATAAAGTGTTGTAGACCAAGGGTTAGTAAACTTGTCTGTGAAAGGCGACAAGGCAGGACCATGTGGTCTGTGTCACGCTCAGCCCTGCTGGGGGAGCTTCGCTGGCGGGAGGGGAGATGGCAGTGCTTTCATAGAAATGATTACGTTGAGGGCCAGCGTTCACCACTGGTGTGGTTTGCAGCCCCTGCCTGAGGCTGTTTGTTTTGACAGTGATGGAGATTGAACCAGAGTCCTTTGCATTGAGCTACATCCCCAGTCCTCCCTCCCCCCCCCCCC